TAGAGATGAATTTGACTGACAGAAATGTTGTTTTTTTAAATAGATAACGCAATATTGTTATCATGCTAAAAAGGGCAATTAAAGCAGACGTATTTGAGTAGTTTCACTTCTAGTTAGAGTAGTTAAAGTAGAACCGTTAGTCCCAACCAGTGCTGTTTCTCCCTCTGGGAATATTCTACCTGGATGATGACCTCCTCCTTCGACTGCTCCAGCACACCCTGCTTCAAGATGTCCGACTTTGGTAGAACCTGTGTGACAGTACAGATTAATACACAGAAAATGTCACATGCACACATCCTTAAAAGTGCTACTTACTATTAAACTAACCTTAACTGCATAGATCTTCTCTTTACAAACATCCTTGACTTTCAGGATGGGTCCAAATGAGCCTTTAGCTATGAATCCCAGAATCTGTGAGCACAAAGGTACAGTTATCTACATGGTTCCATGACTTCTTTTCCTCCTTACGTCTTTGATTTAAAGGTTAAATCTATTTGTGGTTCAACAGTACCTGGAAATGTTCTCGTGCAGGAAATTTACGGAGTGGGAACTCGGGCAGAAAGACAGAGATGAAAGCTGGAGGGCTTTTCTCAGCAGCGTCCTCCGGAGGCAGCAGGAGTTTGGAGACGGGCGGTCTGTCGTCCACTTCCACGGGCCGAGAAAACACAGCCGAGTGTCCGAGTCTGTGAGCGATGGAGACGCCCACGTTGGAGAGGAACCCATGACTGAATCGACGCTGAGCAGCTGCTCCCTCTCTCTGTGGGAAAAAGAATAATAAAAGACAAAGGCTCACTATCAGTGGTGGAATGTAGGTAAGTACTTTATTTAATGTTACTTTATATAGAAAATCCAACACACTGTAAAAAACAAACAAAAAAACAAAGTACAACTTGTCAAACTTCCTTAATTAGTTATGAAAACTCAAAATGACTGTCTTTGTTTTTGCATGTTCTCCCCGTGCAGCGTGGGTTCTCTCCGGGTTCTCCGGCTTCCTCCCACACAGTCCAAAAACATGTTGAGGTTAATTGGTGATTCTAAATTGTGTGAATGTGAGTGTGCTTGGTTGTCTGTCTCTAAGTGTAGCCCTGTGATAGACTGGTGACCTGTCCAGGGTGTCCCCTGCCTTCACCCTAAGTCAGCTGGGATAGACTCCAGCTCCCCACAACCCGAGAGAGGATTAAGCGGTGTATAGATGATGGATGGATGGATTTTAACCAGCCACAGTTTACGATTTAAAAAAAAAAAGTTTCAAGCAAATTTAGACATGGTTGAGCAGAAGCCACCTGATGATTTGACCAAGAAGAACCCCCCATGTGCACATGTTCTCAAGGCCTTACAGTCATTAATGCTGCTTTCACTTTGTAGCTGCATTCACTGAAGCTTGGACATCACTGGAGCTTTGGTAAATAAACTTGATCAATAGGTTCTGTGGTGGCCAATGAAACTTGAGAGGTGACAGTGACCATCTCTTGAGGTGCCCCTCTACTTGGCTTGTGCTTCTTCCTGAAGGGCCTGGAGAAGTTGGCGGACATTTTCAAGGACTGGGGCTCCAGAGCTGTCTGAAAGGCTGCAGATGAGCTGCCAGCATCCATCCTGTTCCCATCTCCTTTCTAGTATCATCATGTCATTTGAATAAAGGCTTTTTATAGTCCCTGGTGTTTTACAACCACATTTCACTGTTTCAACAGCTCAGAAATTTTTTCTGCACAATTTGCTAAGTTCGACCCTTTTCTACATGAGAAATCACATCTGTACTTTTTCTGTAACTACTGCATTTGTATTTTTGTTGTTGTCCGTTTCATCCATTCAGGCGTTGAGAATCTGTACAAGATCTGATCTGACCTGCTTCCTATTTCCAGTCCAATAACACTGTGCATGCAAACATTTCAGCTTCAGATAAGCAGTAACTCGTTTTTCAGCAATCATCTCCGAAGCTCTTAATCAGCTGCAGCCACAAAATGAAGCATGAAAAGCTCTTGATGCTGCAGGTCAGAAGGAAGGTCAGTGTCCACTTAACTCTGATCAATAGCTCTATTTCTGTTTCCGACGCAGCAATAATATGAGAACAGGAAAATAGAGGCACGATTTAATGCATTTAAAACAAAGTAATCGACACGAAGGCTTTTTAGATGGCTGATTTTCTCATTTGGAGAAAGTAGCGTCACAATATCAGTTAATTCTTTGCAGAAAAAAGCGCACTTGACTTGCGTGTTTGCTGTTTAAAGCGTGCAAACAGCTCGGATCTACTCACCTTACTGCTTTTAGTGACCTCGCCTCCCATCGCATCCTCACAAACGGACAAATCCGCAACAAAACAGCAACAAATCCAGCCCTTCTTCTCCTCCTCTCGTCCTTCCACAAACCGTCTCGTCCATTTCACTCACATCCACGTGTCTCGGTGTGTTTGTCGGTGTTGCAGCCGGAGCTCGATTCCGCTCCAGTTAAAGCTGTCAGATCCACCATCAGTCACCCAACTCACTGAGACCACAACACTCAGGGACTAGAACACTTTTTGTTTTTTTATTTTATTGACAGATCAACGAGAAAGCCACAGAGCTGATAGAAATGTGCTGCGGAGATATGATGCTCTTAATTGAAACGATCAGGGCTTTTTTTCTTTTCTTTTCCTTTAATAGAAATGTGACCCAGGCTGTAGCAGCACAGTTATACAAGGAGTCCAACAGGAACACAAGTGTGGTTACAAAAATATCAAAATACTTTGCATAAAAAGTGCTTTAGTGTTAAAATTACAAAACTCTGCCATTAGCTGATTTTTTGTTTGTTTTGCCACATTACCATCAAACCAAGTGCCACATTTATTTTTTTGTTGACAACACATAAACATGTTTTTGCTGCTCTGTTTTTGATATATTGCACTGAGGTGAGGTACAGTAAAACAGTGAGCTGAGTGAAATATAAAACAGCATCAAAGGCCTTCCTGTCAGAGACAGTCATGCAGCCTTGATCGCTTTCTTTTAAGCTTTATTTGATAAAACATATTCTGATATATTTACTTTCACAATCTAATTTCTTTACAGCTGACGGCATCGAAGGTGCTTCCGATTGGGTCCTGTTTATTCTAGCAGACTGTGTGACAGAGTGTTCCCGAGCCAGCAGGAAAAGTAAATCTCAAGTCTCGCATTTGCAGAAGCAGAGGAAGCAGTAACAGTGACGTGCTCGCTACATACTGCAAAGCTTCCTCGCTACATTCAATGCAACCTCAGTGGTCGTTATTCCCAAAAGTTGCAAAGTTTATGAAATGCAGACTGAAATTTTTAATGACACACAAATAAACAGGATAAAGATATATTTGGTCAAAGTGGCACCCTGGTAAGTCCTGGAGCTGTTTGAGTTCCCTGGAGGGATTCAAATCTGAGACGCACCAGGAGTGACTTTTCAGAAACAAGTTCAGCAGGCTCGTGTGATATAGTAAGTTACCCCCTCCCCTAAAACTACTTGAAATGCTCCACCACCTCCCTTTGTCATTGTGATTCTCAAAGCTGGAGTGATATTTTGACCCCCACCACGCCCGTGGACGGTCATCCAGTGGCTCCCGTGTGAGTGTTTGGTGCTTCACTTGCGTCGACTAAAGATACTCTTCTTGCTGGAGCTCTTGTCTGCGGAGCTGAGGCCGATGAGGAGTCGGGCCTTCTCATCTTCCTCCTGCTGCTGCAGGCTGTTGTCCGACTTCCCTTCAGACGCCTTCCCCCCCCGCAGGTCTGAGCCCGACGCTGGCTTCAGACGCAGCTTCTCCTTTATCATCTGAGCAGCGAGGAGCAAAAAGGACAAGTTTATAAATACTGAATGTTTCAGTGTCACAGCAGATTTATATATTTTCGGCTTCTAGTCATTCTTGGCAATGGTAAATAAATTAAAACTCTTAAAGGCACACAGTCTGCTATGAGAGATACCTTCAACTTGCAGGAAAATCTAACAAATTATTGATTTTAAATTCCATAAGAGAAGTTAAATTCTGTGTACCTGCGCCACAAGTGCTTTCCGGCTGTCCCTTTTCACAGCCATGGCAAAGTCGAGCCACGTCCAAGTGTTGTTGTGATATTCCAAACAAGGCAGGACCAGGTTCAGGTCCTTCCAGTCCACACTGCTCTTCTCTCCCTGAGGAAGACATTTTACAGAGAAACATTACAGGAACATCTTACTGGGAACAGAAAAGATCTTGGCTTGGTTAGTAAGTCAATTAAACCTGGAAACTTTTCTTTTTTTTTTTTGGTGCTTAGCAGCAGAAACAAGTTCCGAACTAAGTAATCCGACGACCTTTTAAGCAAACGAACCGCTTAATCACAAAGTGTGTTTACCAGCAGTTACAGAGCAACATTAACACACTGATTCAGAGATGTGTTTCTGGTCACCTGAGAAACTGACATCCAGTAGTTGACACTGTTTTAGCTCTGTTTTGGTTCTCACTGACTGTCCTGGGCCACATATTTGGTTTGTTAGGTGCTAAATGCTAACTGGTAACTGTGACTGTGTGCAGTTTGTGAAGAGTTTGAGACATTTTTTGGCCCCTAGAAATGGCACAATGAGAATTTTAAACTTACACATTTGGTACAGTTTTTTAAAGAACTGGAGCCACTTGAGCTAAGAACTCTATGTAACCCATACCTACACAACAAGTGAATATATTCTTGTTTCAGTATTTCACATTACAAAGCAAGAATTTATCATTCATTCTATAATACTCGACTGAAACTCCTCCCTCTGTTTTATTTTATTTTGGTCTACAATTTGTCTTGCGTGCGCTGAAAAATGTGAACTTTTACAGTGGATTTTGGAGGGAAAGCATTATGGCAGGAAGTTGAGGAAACAAAGTCGGTAAGAGGCTAACAGGCTGTTCAGGTGCTTGACTGTGTTGACAATCAAACTCTGAAAATGTATCATTAAAAAGAAACCAGTTGATCTAGTTTAACACATGCTGTATAACGTACAGAGTGCATACATAGTGGAGAAAATATTCCCCAACATTGTGAAGAACTTCTCAATTCTCGCCTGGCATGATCAGTACTTTTTGTTGCAGTAGTGCCCCATTTACATATTCCATAAAACTGGTTATTAAAGGTCAGATTAGCCTTTCTCTCATGGCTGCAGTGCAGCATCCATCCATTCTTACAGAAACACATTTCCTTGGGTTTAACATATATTTTACATAGACTGTATATAAAAGATCAACATAGCCACAGTGACATCACCCGTTGGTTTGTGGACTGCTGTTCTGAGTTTGGGATTTGTCTGTCGCCATCTTGCTCTTTTGAAACCAAATGAAACAATCAAGGTGTGGCTCTGACTGAGAGCTCAACATGTCAACCAGCGTAGTGTAGCTTTGCCCTAAAACATACTGTCTTTATCATCTATTTCACTCTGAATGGGAACACATTTTACAAAATGAACATCAGGTTGTATTGAAGGAGACTTGAAACAAGCTATTAAGAGCAATAAACTCATTAAGAAAATGTTTACTTGGATAACAGATTAATGCACAAGTAGGCTCGTTTTCTGATAGATCAGATTTCTTCATGCAAACAGAGGATCAATCCCACACTGGCTGTTGAAAAGAATGCATTCTAGTCAATTCTAAAACCCACAGTCTACATTTATATTTTATATGCAGTCTATGATATTTCACAGAATCATAGACACCAAACAAATCTGTGTGGAAATGAGGAGTTAATCTTATGCTATCGATTAAATGCTCATATGAATCCAACAGGGTCAAAACTGTTAAAGTGAATAAACACAGTGCCTGAAATCCAACAATACAGTGTTTTTAACAATATAAAATACCTATACAAATAACCAGAGCTGTTCTGAGGGCAGGTCAGTAAAACAGAAAAATCCTTTTAAGTGTTATTTCTATGGTTCTCTGTAAAACTCATTGTCTATTGTGACGAACAGGGACCGACGGAGCTCAGCAACCCACCTTATAGCTGACACACAGGGGCACTTGGGGAATCTTGATGTAGATGAAGGAGTTGTTCATAGCCGCTCGCTCCTTCATCTTATCAATGTCATCAACAGGATGCTGAGGGAGGAAATTATGCAAGGCTACTTAGCTTTGTCCCACAGCAGTTATCTGAAAATCTGAGCAAACACAAAAGGCATCCCAACCTCCGGAGGTTTCCTGAACGACCTCCTGACCCCGGCAGTGCGGTTCAGTCCCTGGGCGACACCTTTGCTGGGGCCCATCGCACCCATGGTGTCCTCTGACAGCGGCCGAGGCTTGACAGGGATACCTGTGACACGGACCACACTGGCATCAGCGCTGTGGCCTCTGGGTGACTCTGCACCCTACACCTTATACTCCCACTGAGTCTCACACAGGCACACACACATTTCTCAAGGTCATATCGAAAAGCAACAGAGCCTCATCATAGCTCAGAGGGATGACATAACGCGCAGGCAATTCAACACCACACACGTCTGGTAGAGAAAATGGAAACTATTATTGATCAGTAAGCTGGTATAAATTGCAGGCTGGTGGCCACACAGAGAGATTAGAGGCTAAGTGCTACTCATCTTACAGTTGTCATATTAAGGGCTGTTGACATACCAGTAGTAACCAATCTAAACTTGTCTTCCTCATCCGTGACCTCCTCCTCTTCAACATTTCTTCCCGGGAAGAAAAATCCCATCATTCGCTTGAAGAACTGGTACATGAGCTGGATGGTGAGAGGCACCACATTCACCTGATGATGGAGAAAGACGTTAAGAGAGATATTCGATATAATAACATGTGCAGGTGTTAAAGTGGGAACATGTGATGTTTCTCACCTCAAAGTGCTCCTTCACAGAGATTCCTCCCACAGGGGGGCGCACTTTGCTGAAAATACGCAAAGCAAACTGGCGTCCAGACTGGCAGGCACTCTGAGGCCGAAGTACAACCTAAGGGGAAAAAAAAGGGCGTTAACATCACGAAAATAAAGTTTTACTGAAGAAGAAGCACGTTTTTATATGTAACAGCACATAACACTGATGATATGAACACATGAGGGACAACACCAAACGGTTAAGTGAGCTTGTGATGGTTATTTGGTCACACGTGCATTTATGAATCACTGAGTGTGCATGCAACACTGAATATGAAAGAGCTGTTGAGTGACCCCATCTGGACAAACAAGATGGAGTCAACATGGACATCGCAGCCTTGTCACTATACCAGCAGTGTACATACCCTCACACGCTGCACAGAGGAAACCAGGCATAAATAAGTTAACACATTTTCCCTCAGCATAGTTTATAAAAAGAACTTGGTTGTAGAGGAGCAGTGTAAAGGACAATTCAGTGACCAGTCTTGGTTTGGTGTACTAATTAAATTAATATCAGCATATTGAAAATCTCAGCAGTCAAATCTGAAGACTGATTTCTTTACCTTGTAGGCAGCATTCGGCAGCAGGTTGTTCATTGTGAACCACCCGAGCTCCAAAAGATGCTCTGCTGTGTCATCAGACTTGTTCAGCTGTGGGCAGAAAGGGTTCAGAAAGAGAATATTATACAACATCTGTCATCGTCAGTTCTGGAAATAGAGAAAAGATCCCAAGTTCCAAAATTAATTTATGGGCTATAAAGAGAAGCAGCAGGAAGATTTCTTGAAGTCAGTACGGACGACCACCATCTGCTCACCTTACTGTACATAAATCTCTGCAGCTCCAGCTCAGCGATACCCAGCTGCCCGTCCTCTTCGGTCAAACACCAGCGAGCCTGTGCGAAATAGATCTCCGTTCTCCTCACCACGCTCACGTCCTCTGGGGGCTTGCGCAGCTCCAGCTTGTTTGCCCGTTGCAGCTGGAAATCCTTAAAACATCTGGAAGACAGAGAACGCATTAAACTTTTTCCCGTGTGCCACATCTCCTGATGAGTGATGGATGTGAATCGGTGCTGAGGTGAGACCTGATGAGAATGTTGAGCTCTTCACTCTTCATCTGCATGTCGTTCTTCTCCTGGTTCAGCTGGTTCTGCAATCGCACGTTGATCTCCGTCAGCTCATCGCCGCTCAGATCTTCGGTCTGTGCCTGCAAGATGACGAAAAGGGCAAACAATCAATGATTTAAAAGGTTCAAGCATTGCAGTCCGATTGTCAAAGCTGGTGCACACATTGCCTATAATGCTCAACAGTGCTCAGTTCAGTTTAAGATTCAGGTGTCTTATGCTAGTATCACCTACAGACACTCTGAAAGCTCACCTCTTTCTAACTCCACACAACCTACTAGAAACTAACGAAAAAAACATTTGCAGTCGTGACCCGAGGCACTGAGATGATCTCCCAGAGGCAATCAGGTCAGCTCAGCCAGTG